GCTCTTCCGATCTCCCCAAAACCCCAAAACCCCAAAACCCCATGATCAGATTGCTATATAATTTAATGAAACATTAATAAAGATTAGGTTTTATAAATTTATAAATTTGCTAATAATTGATTGATATTGCAGTAAAGATGTAGAATTTGAAAGAGATATTTTAGAAGGCTCATGGCTACAAAGAGATAGTGTCGAAGCAGCGTTACATGGTCAATTTCTTTAAGAATGATGAAATTCCAATGGTCATCTTCTCATATGTGTGGACTAATGAGCAGGCGACAAAGAGAGTGAGAGAACTGAACAAAAAGGCGAAGTCAATTATCGAGACTACATTCATGCAGTACTTTTCAGAGTACTTCACTCAGATGGAATGCTCCAAGCCTGAGCCTAACAGAGACTTGGACTTTGATGACTTCAGGGATTTCTACTTTAGTTATTACAAGAATGTCCATATTCATGGCATTGAAATCTACGAAACTGATTAATATCTTTAAGGAATGGAGATATGTTACTTAGTTGATGGAGACTATTCCAAATATGCATTACATCATACAATCAGAAGGCAAAAGCTTGGCAAGGGCAGAGGACTGGCCAATTCCTCATCTACCTCTTCCCTAGTCCAGGGCAACTTCAAGCCAATTGGAGGTGGGAAGGATTCAACTTCAGGTGCTCCAGGAGGGATAAGTATATTAGAAAAAAGTTTATTCAAGAAGAGTTCAATATACTTCTAGAGAGACGAGTACATTGTAGGTTTGAAGGTGACTGGAAAGAAATATCTTCACTATATGGAAATAAAGACCAACCATGGTAACTTCCTGACATCAGGCACTATCTAGAAGGATGACAACCATTGTGAGTTTGACATCCCAAAAGATCACAAGGTGATTGCCTTTTCGGGACTGCTTGAAGTGATGTTCAATGAGTGCAGAATATTAGATCTTTCAATTGTCACAAAAGAAACAGAATAAGATTGCGATTAGGCTATTAAAAGTTTGACGTACAAGGATATGATTAACAGCAGTTCTTAATTATTCAATGTGATTAAAAGTGAAATGTGTGAGAATATTAAGAGAATAAAGGCAATTAAGTTGTACCCAGGTACTCTTTTAGACAAAAAGATTAGATCAAACAAGGCCGACTGCGTAGGTGGTATCTAAATAACATATGAATTGAAAAGTGGAGGGGAATTTGTAGATGGCTTGACTGATTTGAGATGCTTGAACAAAGAGCTTCCCGCAAAATCTATAGAAATCAAAGATAATGAATACATCACAATGATCTATGGAACAGGAACTGACTATATCAAAACTCTGTGCATAAAGACTAACTTCTATAGGAGAGTCAAAATGGGTTCGACCAAGGATGAGCAGCCAGGGCTTGGCAAGCAATTGTCTCGCTCAAGTTCAGAGCAGTTTGACCTTGTAGGGCTTAAAGGGGATTAGTTTTCAATTAACCTGCCAGCTGGTGCTAAAGTTATCGCATTCTCAGGAACTGCTGACGATTATCTAAGATCCATTTCTGCATACTACAAAATTTGATTAAATTTATTAGTTCGTTCCTAAGATTTCTTAACACATACACTCTAGATATCTTTAATTTATTCAAATATATGAATGATCATAGCGAGATCTTCGTGTTTATTTAAATCTCTGCTATTCATTTGATAATCATAATCTCTCCTTGGGGTTTTGGGGTTTTGGGGTTTTGGGG